AGCGAAACTACAAACAAGGAACTATTCAAGGGGATACGTTAGATGTTGGAGATTATACAGGTTGACAGAATAGTTCAGGAGATTAATGACTTTCTTAAATAGACAACTGACACTAATTAAACTACATCTGATGTTTGGGCATCAAAACAATCTAACTTCAGTAGCAATTGGAAATTCATGGCTATCCCCAGGGACAATATCATGGGATGCCATTCGTACTGGCAGACTCGACACTCACTTAACAAGTGTTACTAACAATAAAGACAGTTAAAGCTTTCAACATCACTCACAAAGGATCTTGTATGCTTTAACTGTACTCAGACATCTCTAAGTTGACTCAAAACAATGGTGTCCTCTCTCATATTCAAATTCACTTTATAGAGAGGTTGGTTTCAGGAAGTCAGAGAAAATGGATGGTACCCTGGTTTGGGAGCGATGAGAAAACGGACGCCTCAGAGGGGAGACTCAATAAAAAAGACATAGCTACATGTTTTGTGGGCTATTGAGCGTAATATGAATCGTCTGATTTTACGTTAACTGACGTGTATGACCGTGGTCATTACACCATGACAAGAAATACATCATACAACACTACCCTCATACACTCAACAGTACTCCCATCACAACTATCTACATCCATAACAAGTGAATAGCTTCCTCCATCCAAAGACTCCCAACAAAAGGCATACTGAACATCACCTAATGTCCACATTTCGGAAGTAACTTACCCCAGAGAAATAACAATACTGTACAGTATATCTCGAGCAGACTACACGTTGGTTACCATTCTTTCTTAAACCTATACAAGTCAGTGCAATCTTCATCTCATACAAATCCACTTTCCACATTACAACTCGTCTGCTAACCTGAACAATCCCTCCACTTCACTTCCACAAAAGATATCTCCGAGCAACTGGCTGTTGTCAATGAAAACCTGAGGTACACCAGTGTCGCATCCATGTAAAACTAAAGCTACACTAATAGCAGCACACATCCTTCCTAATATATCGTACTATCAAAATTTCTCGGCTTAGGTTAGGTTGAGGTGGTTACCCGTGTCAGGGAGGACAAATTGTGACAGTCAACGTTATACAGTACTGTACTATATACCTAACCCGAGCAAATAAATCACTGTACAGTGCAGTAGGTGCACGCGATCCATATATAAGCTGATAACCACTTCCCGCCCACCTGGTACGATGTTCTCCGTAAACTTCCTGACCTCTCGTATGTCTATGGGAAAGGGTCGCGGAAAAGGGACGTGATTGCTGCCCGTATCATCATTGGGTATGACTTTGCTTGGGAGATTGGTATCCCCGCATCCCCTGAGCAACGCTCTTGTCCATTAGCAGAAGACCCGACACCCGCACCCTTATCCACTATCCCCTAAGATGTCGCCACACAACGCTTCCGTGACGCCTGCTGGACCACCACTCCACGACCCCCTGACGGAGACACGATGATCCTCCCCATACTGGCCAGATATTATGTAAATAATATTGATAATTTGTTAAAGGAATATCCTTCCTTCCTTACGCTTTAGTAAGCCCCTTTATAAAATTTATACTGTTTATACTTGTCACACTTGCCAGGTGCTTCTGGTGTTATTGTACAGGGGTACCTAGTGACAGCACTAGGATCCCGCTTCCTCTATCAAGGAATAAACAATTGAAATTGAAAAATTGAATTGATAACCACCTAGGAACAAAGAAAACACGAACTTCCCAAGTGCTTTTGTGTATTTCATATATATATTCATAAAATAATTATATTTGTCTTACATCAACAACTGGATGATTAAATGAGCGCTGTGAATGTGTAGCAAAACAACTATGAAGAAATCATGGAATGGATGTCTACATTATGTGGCCTTCCTTGCATTTCAAGCAGGGTGCCACATGCAGTCCCTACCAAACTTATCAGCAGCCCACCATATCTACATCTACAACGACTGGAACATACACTTAAGAATTTTATATACTGTTTTGGTTAAGGAGTGAGTGAAGACATAGCAAGTTGCTTGGACTTAAAAATATAAGTGAAGAAATTTTCTTTCACTAAGCATAATAAATAGTGCTTACAAAGCTAATAAAGAGAATCAAGACATAATGACTGAAATATAGGAAAAATAACACTACTGAATTACCTGTCACAATCATAACAAATCTCTAACCCGGACACCAACATCAGCATAAGAGGTGGCAAGGTGGACGGCCCAAAACTAATAAACTACGGTAGTATTATTAATTGAAGTAGCGTGAAGATGAGGTACATAACAGAGACCATGAAAAGGCTCCCGGAATTATGAAATGTATGTAATATGGGGTGCTGAGTCATGCAGACAAAAATATTATTTAACATATGAAGAATGGAATGTTTCAGATATTAAAGATGCATTTCATAGTCCTTTCACATGAAATCTCACAGGAGAGTGAATATAAAATGTAGGTAATGAGATGAAAAGCTATGGTAGAGCAGTACCGAATAAGAAAGTGAGTTTCTGTGGCTACAGACGTAATTAAATGGTGATTTCAACCCTGTTTTTGAAAGAGTTTGATGCATACTAGTAACCTATCAATGGGATCTTACCCAATAGATGATATGACCACCAAAGAAAGTCAAGTACCACATAGTAAGCAGAGTGCCCTTCAGCCAGCAAGAAACAATGGGCATCCGCATCAGGTGTAGTAGTACAGTATTTGGTTTATGAAACATTTGAGCATCGTAAAGCAAGACATTTTATCGAATCCAGCTACCTTGTGTATGTGCAAAGGAAGTGTAGGATTTGAATAGATATTATCACTAACTTCAACAACTCCAGGACAACTATCACCTATAAGTGTGAGTAAAATGCCTATTGTTCCTACAAAGTTGAAGGGAAAACAACCACAACTAGCAGACAGAAAAACGAGTACATAGCTATTAGATAAATGTTTAAAAGGGCTAAATCAACTATAGAAGAGCACGGCCACATCTTAGGTAGACAGGAAAACGACCACATCTTGTAAACATAAAGAACTTTCATGTATTTAAAACAGACATTGTAATGTATCATGATAACAAGTGTACTGTAGAGGGAAGGTCTTTATATAACAGTCTCTTCATGTACACAAAAACTTAAAAAAAAATGGGAGATGACTGATAGTGTCTTTATGAAAAAAAAAAAATTACATGGCTGACACCTACAAAAGGAATGATACAATTTGGGGGAAGGAAACTCAAAGATGAAGATTACTATTCAAGGTTCAAAGCTTTGGATGATAAAATTCAAATGGTATTAAGTGATATTAAAGAACAAGTTAAAATTCTTCACCATTTCAGTTCCTATAAACACTGAACATGGTTAAAATTCGGAAAACGTCAGTCAGGGAACTCTATATTGATTTGTATATAAGGAAATAGAGCATAACAAGGATAAGAAACCTTTACTCTATAGAGTTTTTGTCCGAAATTTAAAATTTTCCAGTTTTTCTGACTTTCTTTTTTAATTCAAGTTTGGTTCTTTTGGTTCCTTTGTCTGTATTTTGTCTTGTTGGGTTAAGTTAAGTTTACACAGCAGGGGGTCCACCCTGGATAGGAGATTGGGTCAGATCCTCTGGTTTGGTTATTTTAAACACGTACATTACAGTTTACTGACATTTGAGAATTGTTAGGTTAGGTTTTTTATGATCTTTTTGTTTGGTAAAAAATTTTCCTCCATCAATTTTGGGAAGTTCTTGATCAACTGAAAACCATTTCTTCTATTGTAAAATATCCTAATTTGGCTCCTAAACTCAGGCACCTGTTCTTAAACATTAGAGTCTTTTAAAGTTTTCTGTAACAGCTTAGGTTCCATTTCGTCAGTTTTTTGCGCGTTTTTAACCCCAAATTTCCTACGACTCTAAGGACCTGCCCACTTTTTTTTTCAAATTTGCTTTTTTTAAAGTTAAATTGATTAGAAAAAAAATCGAAAAATTTAAATATCAGACGAAATTTTCAACAAGTAATTTTTGGGGATTGGTCTATCTCCCTATATACAAATCAATATAGAGTTCTGTGGTTGACCTTTTCCGGATCTTAACCATTCACACTTCCCCATAGTTGGGCCGTGTGATGCATAAACCTATATTGTACAGAGATAATAATAATCTTACTATAATCAGCAAAAACCACACTAACACCCTGGCTAGTGTCATGTACTGCATGTATTGTTACAAAACTAAATCCTCCGTAAATAATAAACACTGTTGACAATGGAATATCTTGCAGGTGGAGATAGTGGGTGTGTGAACGTCCGCCTCAAAGAGCCTCGTTGTTGATGAAGCGGTTACCCTCCGAGTGCTGGCCTACGTAACGATACCTCCGGAAGCCGTATGCTCCTGATGGTACAAACAGACTCCATTAAGATACGTACATTAAAAAAAATACGAAATGCAGGTGGTGCTTCCTTATAAATGTATACATTATTGTTAATTACACCAGCTTACTGGAAAGACAAAATAAATGATTCTTGGACATTCTTGTATCATCGTCACCAAAAGGTTTAACCACATTGCCTCCCGTGCTTGCGGGCAGTGTGACACTGTGCCACCGAGAGCTAGCAAGTACTGTTCTAGCAAAACAAAGTCTTGTACATTAGACGCGATGGAAAGATTAAAAGTTAACAAACACAAAATAAATATTGGAACATGGAAAGTGAGGACATCTTATCACGCTGGTAAATATAAAAATGTTTGTTTGGAAATGAATAGATTGCAGTGGAACTGGAACAGGAATTATTATATAGTCCATTACTAAAGACCGTTTTCCTCTCCCCCTGAACCGCGAACCCCGAGATTCAGACTCGTGAATCTGAAGCATTTATGGAGTGAATGCAGTAATGTATCAGTCTACTGCTTTGGATACATGAGTGTGAATCTCAGGGTTCATGGTTCAGAGGAGGGCGAACAGAATTTAGTAGTTGACTATACCTGTACTTTATACCTAAGGGGGATGAGACGTGAGGGAGGAGCTCTAAATCTGGTTACGGACATGGATGAGATTAGTCCATTGATCAAGTTGGTCCAGACGTGTACAACAAACTTCAGGACGTGGCCGGGAGGGAGGGAGGGAGGGAAAGAAGAACGGTGGAAAGTATAGAGAGAAAAGGAAGGAAGAAGGAAAGGTGGGAGAGAAGGAGGGAAAGGTGGGAGGGAAGGAGGAAAGGCGGGAGGTAGAGAGGAAAGAAAGGAGAGAGGGAGGAAAGGTGGGAAGGAGGAAGGAAGAAAGGTGGAAGAAATGGAGGGAAGGAGGAAAGAAGCAAGGGAGGGAAGCAGGAAGAAATGAAGGGGGTGTGGGGGGGGGGTAGAAAACAAAGGAGGGACACTAGTGAGGTGGAAGGAAGAGAAGGAGATAAGATAGGTAAAACAAGGAAGATGGAAAGAGTGGTGGTAAGAAGGGGGGAGAACACCATCATGTAGACTGGGGCACACAATAACAACGCCTCCACCAGGGTAATGCCTTGTGTGTGTGTGTGTGTGTGTTCATCTTCAATTACAGCTCACGGTAGGTAAGAGAGGCGTGAAGAGGACTTGGGGTGTCACCTGTATGGGTGTTTGGTGAGATGGGTTCTGGTGTGCCACGTTTACCAGCTGATCCGTTCTGTTCCCGCCTGTCCATGGCCGACCGTCTGGGCTTGTGGTTCACTTCAGAAGTTGTCGACGAGTGATTTCCTCCACCTCCTCCCAAATCATATATCTGCCAACAACAACAAAAACATAACACATCACCATATACTTATTTCCATTTCATAATATACAACAGGAATATCCCTTGACAATGTCTCTGTGATATCAAAATAGCATACAAATATCTCTTGGGTGGTGAGGTGACGACTTCTGCCAAACTTTAGAATCGGCTGACAAACTTCTAGTCAACTCACCTAAATTATCCGCTCACAGACACATACTGTACATAGACCAGGGGCGGACCGGGGGTGGAGATCCGCCCCCCCCCCCCTTGTTCATCAGGAATTCAAATACTTTTTCTTTAATTCGTTGACCTCAGAATATCTCCTAATACCAAGTGCACGATAGCCTCAAAATGCCCATGGGATATTGGTCAGCTGGGTGGGCTCGGTCTGCTTGCCATGTTCCCCCACTCACAACATATCGGACCCCCTCCATTTCATATTCCTGGATCCGCCCCTGTACACAGATTAACAGACACTTACTCACAAACACACAGAAGATGGCTCTCACACACACACACACACTACATCCTTGACCACCGTAGAGTCAAGACCTATTCAGGCGATGCTCCCGCTACGCTGCTTCCCCCCCCTTGGCCTATGTCGGCCCGTTCCCCAAGTTCCTCTCCCCGACCCATCCTCACCACCGGGATATCTACATAATCAAATATGACAATTTCGTTTCGGAAAGAAGTGGGATCAGTGTTGAACAGTGATGAACAGTGTTTAAGCCAGTGAATTGAGCACTAGACAGTACCAGTGAAAGCCGCGACCCACCAGTGAGATAAGCGCCCCTGGGAACTAACCACCAACTTCTGATAAGGAGGTGCGAATCCGTCCACCCTGGGAACAACAGAGGGCCGGCCGGCTATGAACCTGACTATGAGATAACACAACATCACCGAGCAGAGTGAGGTACTGTGACACCACCCCACACCACACGGTGTCCCCATGACCACGTGAGGTCCTTCATATCAACACCCGAGGACGAGTTACTACACCACGTGAACACCTCACCACCTGGTGTCTCCATGACCAGCCCAGGCCTGGGCCATCAACTGTAAACTATAATAATTTATATGTTCAATCATTGTTCCTTCTTCTTTCAGTAATGAAAGCTTTTGTTAAACGACCCACCCACCCCATGTCTTTGTATGTAATAAGTCATTTTTGTCTAATGTATATTTTCAGCCTTCGGGCTGCCGACTTTTTCAATAAACCGTTAATTATTATTATTATTATTATTATTATTATTATTATTATTATTATTATTATTATTATTATTATTATTATTACACACACACACACACACACACACACACACGGCTGCCAACACTACCCAAGGTAAGAAAGTATAGAAATTCACTGTAAAAAACAATAACAAACAAACATGAAGGAATATTTTACAGCAGAACAAGACTGAAAAGAAAAAAATATATAGAGAAAGGGAGAAAAAAAAACGTACAAGGAATAAGAAGGAATAAGAATGAAAGAAACTGAGAACTTGGGAATAAAAACATTAATTAGCTAGAATTGGAGAACATCAGTATCTGAATAGAGATTTGCTTTAATATTACAGAAAAAAGCAAAAATAAAGAACGCTGTAAGAGAATAATATTAAAGTATATTATTAGATGGTTTATCAAATAGTAGATGAGAGGAAGGAGTCACCACTGACCATCTTGGCCTGGGTGGAGGAGAGAGGAGAGGTTTGTTGTGGCCGCACGGTTTTGGACAGGGCGCCTCGAGTCCTTGCTTCTCTCCTCTCACTCCGCCGCACCCCCGTCGAGTCCAGGAACTTGAGGGTGGGCAGTCGGTTCAGTACATACAGTCTGCAAGGCAAAATCACCATCAGGACAACTCAACAAGCAATCTGGGTTTATAGAGCTCAATCTATAATAATAATGGACGTGTCTGTCTGTTCCAACCATAGCTCCAAAACGGAAGCAATTAGAGACCTAAAAATTTATACGCATAGTTTTCACATCACAGGAAAAATATTGTTAAAATTACACTAAAATTAGATTCGTTCTCTTATCTTTGGTTGTGAAGAAAAAACAACAACAGGATTTTTTCTTTCACAATTTAAATAAACTCTTGATAGACATCCAAGTGAGATAGATTATCAGAGGGAGGATATGTGAGGCAGAGACATACATATCCTTTGAGATTACAGGGAGGGGGAGAACCTTCACCAGCAGAGTGTCCTCTCCCGCTCCTATGACTGGTTTGGTGATGTGAAGTTTGAAGGTTAAGAGAGAAACTGACACAGAATAACACGATACACAGCAAGACAGCAAGACAGACAAATATGAACACCATAAATCTAATTTTAATGGGTAATGGGATGGTTAGAGAGACGGACCGAGTGACCTATGGTGAGAGAGTGAGTGTAAACAGAGAAGACCTGGTGACCACACGCTGAGCACGGTGGTGGTGGTAGTGGCAACTGAGTATAATATGAACACTCACAAAAGAAAATAATTTCTACAATCATGCTGCAAAATGCCGCCACATCACACGACTCCCAATACTGTATAAACAAAACTCAATATTTGTATACAATTCCGAGACGTTCAACAATGCCAAGCCCAGAATCAATCACAATACACATTCAAAAACCAAGCTGAAATGAGTGAACTAGATCTCTGACAAGTCATTCAGGGAAAACCTATATCTTGACATAGACAAACAGACAACCGACTACTTCCACACACTCCTACGAACTACCAGCCAGGGAAGAATGATAAACAAATCACAAAACTGAAATGAAAATAAATAATCAGGCAAGGTTGAAGGATCACATGAAGATTTGACACCCTAAATATATTACCTGATGATTGAAACACCCAAATGCTAACCTAACTTAACCTAACCCCCTAGAATAGATACCACTAGGGTGTTTAATCAATGGGTAAAAAAAACTAGGGTGTTTAATCAATGGGTAAAAAAAACTAGGGTGTTCAATCTTCTTGTGATTCACATACACTCGACAGTTTCCTCCAGGTCTGAACAACACAATGTTTGACCACCTGGGCTTCCATGAACCCCAGTCCTAATCCGCCCCAACCTAACCTAATCTAACCTGCTCTGATGCGCCCCCAACCTAACCAAATAGGTTCCCAGCCTAATTTAAGCATCAATACAAATACATTCTTAATAGTTGAGGCTAAATCAAACTTGGGGTCCATCTGACTTACTACCAATTACACATCTTCAAAGCCACCAAGTCATATCCAATTTGGTCTCTCCAGAATACAATTTCTTCACCCAGACGCAATAAGCCAATTACTAAAGCTTAATATAAAACACACAAACTCCTTCGTCGTGGCGTCACCTGTATCTGCGGTAGTCCTTCTCATCTTTGTCAGCGCAGGAGAGCTGGTCGGGGCAGGCTTCGTTACCCAGGAGACTGAGGTACCGCAGGTTGGGCAGCCGTTCCCTAATTTGTTCCACCAGCTTCTCCAAATTGGTTACCTGTGTAGATGCGAATATTTTAGCTATTTAAACTTACACCGTCAATACAATTGTTAACCCAGAAATATGTGAACTACGAACACGACACAGTAAAATACTATTACAATTACCTATTTAGTATCCAACCGTTCACTGTTAACTCCTCAGTGATAACTACTGTCAATAACCTCCCACTATGTTAACAATTAATATAACACAGTCAATATTAACCCCCCACTGAGTTAACTACTACCACTGTGAATCATTGCATTACCTTGTTCTTGTTGAGGGAGAGGGTGTGTAAAGTGGCGAGGAAGGGGAGAACCAGGTTATCATCGATGAAGTTGTTGTCTAGGATGATTTCTTCTAGGTAAGGGAACTTCTCCAGCCCCTCCAACGACCTGTGGGGCGACACTTGAACTTGTAGTAGGGTAGCCAGGGCATGATGAAGGTTGTGATAATGGTAGCCAGGGCATGATGAAGGTTGTGATAAAGGTAGCCAGGGCATGATGAAGGTTGTGATAATGGTAGCCAGGGCATGATGAAGGTTGTGATAAAGGTAGCCAGGGCATGATGAAGGTTGTGATAAAGGTAGCCTGGGCATGATGGAGGTTTTGATAAAGGTAGCCAGGGCATGATGAAGGTTGTGATAAAGGTAGCCTGGGCATGAATATAGGGTACATGTTAGGAAACCTTTACAGAGGGTAAACTAAACTTGCTTTGAATTGGGCATGTATGGAAGATTGGAGGATGGCCTTTAGTAGTAGTAGTAGTAGTAGTAGTAGTAGTAGTAGTAGTAGTAGTAGTAGTAGTAGTAGTAGTAGTAGTAAGAGGAGGAGGAGGAGCAGGAGTTGGGGGGAAGACAGATGAGGAGGAAGAGTAGAAAGAGGAAGGGAAGGAGGGAGACTTACCGGATGGCGTTGTAAGAGAGGTCAAGTCGCTTCGTCTGGAGGCCATAGGTGGCACCGAGGATGCTGGGTATCCTCTGGCAGTCCTGACCCACGAAACACAACTGTAACACAACACTGGCGTTAGTGAACTGAACTGGCAGAGGGAGGTGAGTGGGTGATACAATAATGGCTACCATTCTCCTCTCCACACACCCTAACCTAAACCCTCACTATTTACTATTTGGGTCCAGTCATTTGGTTATGGTTAAGTTGGTTTATTAAGAAACTTGGGTCTAATTTGACCCTGTATAAGATGATACAGCATTCTTACATAAAATCCCAGTAAATTTTGTATATTGTTCGCTGTACTTCTATCTATGCTGGCGGGTCTGACTCAACACAAGGCGAATGACTATACCCGGACAAGGCGTAAACATGATAGCCTAGCTGGAGTTTGGATACGAGGCTGTGGTGTGGAACTCTCTGAAGCTGAATATGGGATTATGTGATGAGAAATTCGAGATGGGGAGATGAATGAAGGAGGGAGGGGGTGTAAAGGTAGGAAGGGAGGAGGTAAAGAAGTGTCGATGGTGGAAGAGGAAGGAAAGGGTATGGGAAAAGAATTGGAGAAAGGTATTAGGGAGTGGAGGAACGGAGAGAGGGGAAGGGATATTCAAATTAAATCAAATCCTATTAATCAAACTAATTCTTCTTTTTTTTTTACCCCTAGACACAAAAACATCACTATTAGTCACACGAACACACCTCTATTCCTCTGCTAGGCTGGACGCTGGCTTCTTGACAAACACGTATGAGTCGACCTTCACGCAGGAAAAATATCATTCGGCTTTTTCTTTTCTTTTTAATGCTTTCTTGTATTTACGGAATTGTAGTATCTAAATGTAAATTCTAAGACAACAAAACGATATCTATCTACATGCTATCTGTAAAGTATTAACAACATTTATCTCTAAACTATCGTGTATAAATGGTAAAGTTCGACTATATTTAAAACTTACGGGCACAGCGTATTTGACGTCTACACCACACCAAGTATTGTAAGAATCAGTGGCGTGTCCAGGATATTTTGGATGGGGTGGCCAAGGTGGGGCACAGACCCGGTGTGTGTGTGTGTGTGTGTGTGTGTGTGTGTGTGTGTGTGTGTGTGTGTGGGGGGGAGGGGGGAGGCATATAAAATTTCAAATGAATGCCAGGTGATGGAAATTCGTAAATACAGCGGTTCAATGAATTTAATGCTTCAAGTTAGGTTTGTACATCTTCCTGTTGATATAATTCATACATCAATTTCCAAACTCATGACATTTATCTATTTCCATGTTTGAGCCCAAGGCCAGGATGATATATGAACATACAACACCAGTAATGTCCAAATGAGGTCATACCACAGCAACCTAATAATCATCTAAGAGTAATTAGGACATATGGTAAGGTAATAATCCACTTAACTCCGTTTATTGAATATAATATAAATAAAATATAAATTAAATTTCAATAATAAAATGAATATTGGTCAACATCACACTGTAACACAAGAGCACAAAAAAGAACAAAAAATCCACATAAAGCTCAAAGCCACAACCCTTATATTACAGAGCTATATACTGTACACCCTTAGAACAGTTACAGAGCTATATACTGTACACCTTAGAACAGTTACAGAGCTATATACTGTACACCTTAGAACAGTTACAGAGCTATATACTGTACACCCTTAGAACAGTTACAGAGCGCATACTTTTGCTTTATAGAACAGTTACAGAGCTGTATACCTTGCCTTAGAACTGATTACAGGCTATATACTGTACACCTTACGACAATTTTGCAGAGCGGCTATATGCTGTACACTAGAACAGTTACAGAGCTATATACTGTACACCTTAGAGCAGTTACAGAGCTATATATATTGCACCCAACAGAACAGTTACAGGCTATATACTGCTTTTTACCTTAGAACAGTTACAGAATATATGCTGTACCTTAGAGAACAGTTACGAGCTATATACTTTCAACGCACCTTAGAACAGTTACAGAGCTATACCCTTTTACCTTTGGAAACGATTTGCAGAGCTATGCACTGTACACCCATAGGGCGATTACAGAACATATACTGTACACCTTTAGAAACAGTTATGAGCTATATACTGTACACACCTTTAGAACAGTTGAAACTTATATACTGTACATGAAACGATTACAGAGCTATATACCCTTTTACCTTAGAACAGTTACAAGTATATACTGTACACCTTAGAAACAATGATTACAGAGCTATATATGTATACCCTTAGAACAGTTACAAGGAGCTATATACTGTACACCTTAGAACAGTTACAGAGCTATATACTGTACACCCTTAGAACAGTTACAGAGCTATATACTGTACACCTTAGAACAGTTACAGAGCTATATACTGTACACCTTTAGAACAGGTACAGGGCTATATACTGTACACCTTAGAACAGTTACAGAGCTATATACTGTACACCTTAGAACAGTTACAGAGCTATATACTGTACACCTTTAGAACAGTTACAGAGCTATATACTGTACACCTTTAGAACAGTTACAGAGCTATATACTGTACACCTTAGAACAGTTACAGAGCTATATACTGTACACCTTAGAACAGTTACAGAGCTATATACTGTACACCTTTAGAACAGTCTGCTGAATAACGAACATTTTAATAAACTCGTCCTTGTCTAATGGCTTAGCTCTTCTAGCCTCAATAGTGAGAACACCCAGGTTACTCAGTCTGCTGTCTGCCATAGTTGTGTGCAAATGGCTCCTTATGAGTTTAAGAGATGAGAAGCTGCGCTCACAGACAGCGTTGCTTTCTGGGAGGGCCAAGGCAATCCTGCACAGACGGAACAGTTCATTAAAGACCTCTTTGTAGGGCTCTAGGAACACCGTTAGCTCTTAACATAATGGACAGCTTCTGCATTCCACTTTGAGTTCTCCTTTCCCAAATCATCTTTGCTTGGTGCAGGTTATGGCTGAGATCTTCAACATCACAGCTTCCTCCTCCAAAAAACTCTTGCTCTTTGGGTCCAGGGCATATATTCCTTTCATGATGTCACAATTTGGTTTAGAGAAGCGTCTCTGCAACTCACAAACAATGGTGTCCACGATGGGTGTAGAATATCCTCCTCCTGAAGCTGTGTTTGTCACCAACATTACACCTATTGTGGATGTTACAATAGCCCCACCCAGTCTACAATTGACTTTTTGTGACCTCTTCTCAACATTTTCAGCAACGACATTGCACTGATCAGCAGTGTCTACAATGCCTTTCCATAGCTCCTTAACAAATGACTCATTCCTGAACTTCTGAATTGTATCCTGAAGTGCTTCAACCAAATCCACTGCCCTAGCTAGGTCAAGCGAAGGTGATTGTAGTATGTCGGAGAGCAACTTGGTATCCCCAAGGAGTTTTGGAAAAGTTGCAAGAAGACCAATAAATGTGAGGTGTATTTGTGTTAGGAAACCTCGGCCTCTACAGATTTGTCTCAATTGTTTTCAAGGTCTATCTCATGCATAACACGTAGTGTAATACAGCAGGTAATCTATCCATTAGATTCCTGCAAGTCAAGTACCTACATGCCCACCTGGTGTACAAGCCAAGTACCTACATGTCCACCTGGTGTACAAGTCAAGTACCTACATGTCCACCTGGTGTACAAGCCAAGTACCTACATGCCCACCTGGTGTACAAGCTAAGTACCTACATGCCCACCTGGTGTACAAGCCAAGTACCTACATGCCCACCTGGTGTACAAGTCAAGTACCTACATGTCCACCTGGTGTACAAGCCAAGTACCTACATGCCCACCTGGTGTACAAGCTAAGTACCTACATGCCCACCTGGTGTACAAGCCAAGTACCTACATGCCCACCTGGTGTCGCTAAGTTTTTGGGCTCACCTCCGTACATTTCCCTCTGAACATCCACCCACTTCTGGTGTACACGTAGAGCTTCTGAAGCAGCGAAAAAACAAACGAAAACATTCAGCCTCAGGAACTGACTTCACAGTGTCAACTAGCACCAGGTTAAGGCAGTGTGCATTACAGTGTACATAGAAAGCATGTTTAGCTTCTGCTTTCATTCTGACTGTCACTCCAAAGTGTTCCCCACTCATTACTGCTGCCCCACCATAACCTTGCCCAATGAGATTAGATCTATACTCTATCCCATACCTTTCCTGGCAGAGGATGATCTTTTCTGTGAGTGCTCAGCATCTAAAAGGATGGCTTGTTTGAATCCATGCACGGCCCCATTATAATAGTACCTAACTACAGCTGTTCTTTTTTCTTTAGGTCTTTTGTTTCGTCAACAATAGCATAGAACACTTCACTTTCCTTTACTTATAGTGTCACGCACCACATTTGCCAAACATTCTAGAATTTCATTCTGTATTATACTGCTGGTATATCTAGCATTACCACTGGCCTTCATTTTTCCCTACCAATGAGTAATGCTTTGCAATCATTTCCAAAATTGCTAAAAAGTTTCCCTTGTTTAAGCTGTCATCTCACCACTTCTGAGTGGGGGGGGGGGGAGTGGGGCACTGGGGTGGCCAATCAGATTTCAGGGGGGGGCGTGGCCACCCCAGGCGACCCCTGGACACGCCACTGGTAGGAATACTTTACCTTACCAGAGCACAAGAGTAACTAATGAATGAATATATTTTGGATCACATAAACATTAGCCTTCCTGTTTATTCACCTCAATATTAACCATAATATAAACTAATCTAGCCCTAAGGCTTAAATAATTAATATAACCCGGAGTGGCTATTCTTCATGTGATCCAATAGTTTATTAAATTATGAGTGGTTTCCAAGACAGACGTGTATGTTACCGAGTCCTTTGTCTTAACACTTACAGCTGTTTTCTACTGTACGTCCCGTGTCATTAAGCAGTTGTGTGTGTGTGTGTCTGAAATGATTCACAAAGTTGCACGTATATCGAGCAGTGGTCCTGCCCACCCTACAATATGGCAGGGAGACATGGGACACATACAGGAGGCACCTCAAGGCACTTGAAAACTTTCACCAACGTAGTCTACGTTCCATCCTCCGAGTTCGCTGGGAAGACAAGAG